AAACGAGTCCAGGGCTGTGGCCAACACAGACAAACCGTAGATACATGAGGGGGGGGGTAGCATATATATATATATATATATATTAGGTCTATCCTAAAAAATTTGAACTTTTTTGGGCCTGGTTGTTGAAGAACGGAGATATAGGGACCTAAATAATTACCAATACTATTTTGGGGTTCCTTATAATCATTAGAGTATAATGGGCACCAAAAGCCTATTCTAATTATTAAGGCCCCTACATGACACCTCAACTGCTAACAGTTAGCAGTAGCTTTGACCGAGCGTTTTAGGGTAAGCCTAAATCCTAAACCTTACACAATCTAAATAAAGCCCAGAGCCCTATAAACCCTAATTTAAGCTTTGGGGGGTTTCGTGTTCGGGGTCTTTTCCCTGCTCCAGGACTCGGACAGGACAGATTCGAATTGGGGCGTAGGGTTTAGGGTTTGTTGGGTTTAGGGTTTAGGGTTGGCCTCTTTTCGTTTCAATGGGTTTGCTGAGTTCTTCACGGTTAGGGCTTTGGGGTTCAGGGTTCAAGGATTGAGAATGCAGGATTTCTGAAAGAGGGCGCCGGTATTGATCGAAGCAGGGGTGACATCCCCAACAGAGCCCTCATGAACATGCTCTACTACCGTTGCTTTCGAATCATGTAGGGCCCGCAGACTCTTCGAAACCCACGCACTAATTTAGCCATAAGCCTGAATCCTGAATCAGCTCCTATAGTGCCCTAACCTCCCCTTAACTCTGAGCCGCAACCTCGACCCCTGAACCCCACCTTCAGTGCAGCCTGGCCATGAATTATTATGAAGCCCCTCATAGCAACCGAAAGCAGCCTGCAAGACGCAAAGCCGTCTAGTTAAGGGGTTTAGGGTTTCAGGTTAGGGGGTTCAGGGTTTCCCCTAAACCCTAAACCCTAAACCCTAAACCCTAAACCCTATAAGCCCTAAACCCTAAACCGTTTCAGGTGAGGGGGTTTAGGGCTATGAGTCGGTATTGGGAACCCGGGGGTCGGGACCCTAAGCCCACGAAGCTGAGGCAAGGGAGCCGTCTACTCTTTGCAGTTGAACCTCTACCGCTGGATCCTGGAGCCGCCCGGCCCACATTGAGCCACAACTCAGGGTTTAATATAGGTTTAGGGTTTAGGGTTTAGGGTTTAGGGTTTAGGGTTTAGGGTTTAGGGTTTAGGGTTTAGGATTAACTATATTATTTCAGGGGTTGTTTATTACAAATATTATATATAGGGGTTTACATAATTATCTATATTATTTTGGGGGTTCCTTATTACAAATATAGTACAGTATACCCCAAAACCCTAGTCAAATTATCAAGGTCCCTGCATTAGCGTCCGGGGAGGTTGCCCCTAAACCCTAAACCCTAAACCCTAAACCCTAAACCCTAAACCGTCACGGTTTGGAGTGTTCAGAGGCCCAGGCCGAAGATGTTGGGCACGAAGCCTCCAGGCCTAAGCTCTCAAGGAACCCTGGCGTCTCCATGGCCGTCCACTTGAGGATTGGTTGAGGGTTTAGGGTTTAGGGTTTAGGGTTTAGGGTTTAGGGTTTAGGGTTGAGGGTTTAGGGTTTAAGGTTGGCGCTTTCCAGGGATTCGTTTTCAAGTTACAGGGTCAAGGGCAGGGGCGGCGAAGTTAGGGAGAATTCACGGGTTTAGGGTCACGGTCTAGGGTTCAGTGTTTCAGCTGTCGAAAGCTCTTCAGGAGGCGACGAGGTTGAGACTCCGGATGGTGCGAAGGGTAGAGTAGAGCGATACCCTAATAATCCCTAAACCCTAATCCCTAAACCCTAAACCCAAATCCCGAAACTCTATACCCAAGTCCCTAAACCGTAAACCCTAAACCCTAAACCCTCGATCCCTTTTGTGGGAAGAGAGCACCGTAGAGCTCGGAGGCTCCAACATTTGCGGGCGTTTCAGGGCTGTAAGGTTTTAGGGTCTGGGGTTCAGGTTAGGGGTTTGGGGTTAGTTTTAGGGTTTTAGGGTTTTAGGGTTTTAGGGTTTTAGGGTTTTAGGATTTTAGGGTTTTAGGGCTTTAGGGTTTTAGGGTTTTAGGGTTTAGGGTTTAGGGTTTAGGAAGTCTGGGGAACACCTCTGAAATAATCAATCGGAGGAAGTACTATGGGGAGAAGATCAGCAGCATGATTCTGGTTTCCGTGCACCCGGATGTCGGGGCCCCAGTGTGCAATGCAGCTCGAAGTTCAAAGGCAGTGGGGTGAAGGGTTACATTCATGCACCCTGCCAACCTCAATGGAACTCTAACAGCAATAGCTTGTTTTTGGGGGACTCGCAAACACTTCCATAGATAGCTGTAAATCCCATCCTTCTCAGGGAAGGGAATCCATGTCTTTGGGAGTGGCAGTATCGGTTTTCTTGGCCAAAGCACAGCCACATGGGCCCTCGTCTGTTGGCAAGACACCGATGTATTTGCGATGCGGCCGATGCTGCATGGCAGGTTTGTGATTTGCGTCGGCCGAAGACGGTCGGCGTTGTGTTGACTCTGTGGACCTGTCTCCCTCTCGCCGTCGCGACCGATCCCACTCCACAGACCCAGCTCCCAAAGCCTCAACACCAATCACCAAGACAAGCCAGAAACACCTCTTAAAACCGACTCCCTAAGCCTTACACCCTCGATCCCAAACCCTAAACCCTATAAGCCCTTAA